ATTCGTGTGCGCTTTGTAAACGCAAGAGCAGAAATGGAGATTTTTACTCAACTGCACGCCTCTCTTAAAAAGTTCGTAGCTTTGCCCCTAGAAGACGATCCAACTGGAAACTTGCACAATCTATAGAAGACACTTAGCTCTAAAACTCCAAGAGTTTCGTTTAAATCGCCCCCAAATCTGATTCGTGCGCGCTTTGTAAACGCAGGCGCAGAAATGGGAATTTTCGCTCAACTACCCGCTCATCTTTAAAAATTCGTAGCTTCCCATCCAGATCCCGGGTGATCTTCAAATTCGCACACCCTATAGAAGACATCTGGCTCAAAAAATCCTGCGACTTTCATTGAAATCGCCTTAAAATGTTAATCGTGCGCGCTTTGTAGACTCAGGTGCTGAAATAGACGATTTCGCTCAACTGCACGCTCTTCTTTAAAAAATCGTAACTTCAACTCCARAAGAGGTGACGACTTGAAACTTGCACCCTTATTAGAAGACAGTTTGCTCTCAAAAAGTGGAAATTTTCATTCAAATCGCACCGGAACCTAAATTTWTCCCTTGTTAAGAATCTGGTCGATCCACCGACTCTCTCAGGTGGCTCTAGAAAAGCATGGGTTCACTTAACCGCACGCCTGATTTGAAAAATTCATAACTTTCAACCCAGAGCAGCTGGCAACTTGGAACTCGCTTACCTTAAAGAAGACACTTGAGTGGAGGAACTGGAAAATTTGCACTCAAATCGCACAAAAACCTGATCTGTGCTGCCAACTGCAACATAGCCAAGAAAATGCGCACTCAATCGACACTTACGAGGTCTAAAAGTGGAATTTCGTTGTCGTCTATTGAATCGAAGGGAGAGCGGGGCCGAGAGCGGAAAAGGAACGGCAATGAAAAACGATCTTCATTAACGAGATATGAAGTATGAATGCATTTTCTGTTGAATTAATCTGACAAAAAGTGAGCTTATCGGAACACGGGAGACAGCGGTTGGCTACCAGCATTAATCAGCCAACACAAAGAGAACGTGAAGGGTTGGTGGTAGGAAAGTGAGGCGAATCTGTGGCCCCTTAACCCGACAACTATCGGAGGCTCCTGCGGGAAAAACCGAACGCAATAGTTGGCTCAATTTTTCAATGGCATTTATCTACCTTTCCCTTGGCAGCGGCGTCGCTCTCTTATAAAGTGATTAGCGGCGAATAAAGACAATGATTGAACCGAACGACGCCGGGCGTCGTTATCAGCGCCGGCACCGCCGTCGGGCTGTTTTAATCAGCCCGTTACACATTCATCTTTCGCACCTTATCGGCGAATGGCCAGACCGCCTAAAGTGGATGATAAAAGTCGAAAAATTCATACACAGAAATCGATGTTGGCCCGACCAATTTGGGAAGATGCACGCGGAAATACTCAAAAAACAGGGGTTTGAGGACTCAAAGTGGGCGTGTCCGCAGCCCGAATCCAGGCTGATCAATTTTAGATTCGCAGCGATTTATAACTTCCTCTAATCGAGCGGCAGCGCCCTTTCGATACCATCTATCGATCACGCTACATTAGCATAGGACATTGATTTATAATTATGACGCCTGCCGACGCTGCCGACGACGCCGACGACGCCGAAACGGAGCTACGAGATATCTCCACTTTTTTATGAATTAGAGGAAACATCCACTTTGGATAATGTTCCGAACGGGGAGAAGTTTTTAAGAAGTGCCACCGACTAAAAGGGCTTTTATTGGATTAGGACACGATTCCTTTGCATCAGGCAATTGGCCTTTGTCGAGCAACATCTTCCTTGCTTGCTCTATTAGAGCTCTAATGGCCCATCACTTCATAGAAAATCTACAATGCAAAGAAGCAAGAGGCAGCGATGTAATGAAATGGGCGACCAACAAGGATGGAGCGAATGTGGGATGGGTGTTAATTTGGAAATTTGCTGTTTTTCAAAGTGGAATTTTCGAAAAAATGTGGCATTTAATGACCAGTTTTGAATTGAAAATTTCACGTAAACCCATCAAAAGAGCGTTTATCGAAGCGCTAAAAATGTATTTTTCTAATGACCACACACATGCTGCTAGACCTGCTCCAGACGTATAGAAAGTCCGTTTCCGGAAGCCCCAAAAATGCTTCTTTCTGATGACTACAGTGCGATTTTCCCAATTTTAGAACGCATTAGGTGCTTGAAACGTTCTTTGCTATTACCAAATAATTAGACTTGAATATCGGCCAGAACGTATAGGCACCCCAGTTCTAGAAGCTCTAGAAATCGTTGTCGTAAGACAAAAGTGTGAAATAGTCCATTGAATTTTCTTTGTTCCATTCAAAAAATTGCCACTCGTTTTCTAGATCATTTGGAGGCGTGAAATTCGATCGGCACGTCTAGAAAGGTCGTTTCTACATGCTCTAGAAATTGTTATTTTGCAGGACTGCTGGATGATAATCTAAACTAAGCGTCTGCGACTTTCTTTGATGTTGTTTTAAAAATTCTCAGATCTCTTCTAGACCAACTAGACGCTTGAAATTCTGGCCAGGCATGCCGAAGGGCCATTTCTAGAAGCTCTTGAAATGCTTTTCTTGTACACGCCAATTGAGATTTTTTGGCGATTTCTGCATTAGAACAGTCCTGTTCAGTTTCGAACTGAAGGCTAGAAATTCGGTCTGCTGGTATAAAATGGGGTTTTCTAGAACCGAAAAAAAACAGTTCCCTTGCAGTGTCACAGGCTGAATGTTGGCTTTTTTTCAATCACAGGGCTGAAATAGTCTTGGGTCATTTTCAGAATTTGCATCAAATGCTGACAGGTTCTATTCCAGTCGAACTAGACGCGTAAATGTCGGCACTGTAGAAAAGCAATTTCTAGAAGATCTAGAACGATTCTTTTCGGAGCTCCACATTGTGATTTTTGATGATTTTTCAAACTCGGCTGTCAAACAGTCGCTTTCAGTTTAGTTTGCTAAAAGTGTACGCATCCTTTTCTAGACGACCTGCATTTCTAGAAAGTATTAAAGAGGTTTTTGTTACATTGCAAGTTCTTTTCCAATCCAACTAGAAGGGTGAAATTGGGTCCAGGCGTGTAGAAAACCCGTTTCTAGAAGCTCTAAAAACGCTTTGCATGTAGCTCTACATTGCGATTTTTGACGATTTTTCAAACTCGGCAGTGAAATAGTTGCTTTGAATTATGTTCACCATTCTTCACAAATCTGCCCATTCTGGTCTGGCGGTATAGAAAAACCGTTTCTAGAACCCTAAAAATGATTCTCTCGTAGTGTTACAGGGTGATTTTCGACTGTTACAGGGTGTTAAAAATTTTTAAACATCTATTTTAAAATGACTCTTTTTTCCTCCGTGTGGCAAGAAAACGTTCTAGAAGCAAAAATTGCTCCGTCGTTTGATTACAATGCAATTTTTGACGATTTTCCAAATGTATAATTTTTTGAAAAGTTGCAACATCCTTTCTAGACCGCATCTAGAAATTTAAAATTCGATTCTCACGCGTAGAAAGACCGTTTCTAGAAACCGGATAAGGCTGCTTTCATCAAACTATCTAAGCTATGGGGTAAAATAGCCCGTTGCTGATTTATTTGCTATTGTTTTAAAACGT